GATCACCTCCTTATCACATCATAGATCTTACCGCGCTATCACACTCATAGATCTACCCTGCTATCATCATCATGTAGAAGTCTAACCTGGCATATCACCCACTCATATATCCTACCTGACTTATCACACTCATTAGATCTACCTGGCTATCAGCACTCTAATCTACCTAGTATCACACTCATAGATCTACCTGAAAGTTATCACACCATAGATCTACCTAGTTATCACACTCATCAGATTCTTCTTACCTATTACTCACACTCAGAGACTCTTCCTAGTTTCACACTTCATAGATTACCTGAGTGTATGCACACTCTATCTACCTAGTTATCACACTCATAAGATCTACCTAGTTATCACACTCATAGATCATACCTTAGCATTAGCACCACTACAATAGGATCTAACTAGTTATCACACTTATAGAATCTACCTAGTTATCACACTCATAGATCTACCTGCTATCACACTCACTAGATCTACCTAGTTACTTCACACTCATAATTACCTATTATCAACACTCATAGATCTACCTACGTTATCACACTCACTAGATCTACCTGGTTATCACACTCGATAATCTACCAGTTATGCACACTCATAGATCTACCTGGCTTATCCACATCCATAGATCTACGTGGTGTCACACTCAATACGATCTACCTAGTATCACACTCATAGATCTACCTAGTTATCAACACTCATAGATCTAACTGGTTATCACACTCATACGATACTACGTAGGTTAGCACACTCATAATAGATCTACCTAGTTACTCACCCTTATAGTTCTACCTGCTTTCACATGATAATCTACCGTGTTGTCACCACTCATAGATCTACCTAGTTATCACACCTCATAATCCTACCTGGCTATACACTCACTAGATTTACGGGTGTACTCACACTCATAGATCTACGTGTATCACACTCATAGTCATCTACCTGCTTATCACCACTCACTAGATCTACCTGCTAGTATTAACACGCATAAGATCTACCTATCTCACACTCCCATAGATCTACGTGGTTATCCACACTCATAGATCTACCTGTATTACCAATCATATAGATCTACCTACGTTAGCACACTCCATTAGACTACCTAGTATATCACACTCATAGTGTCTACCTAGTTAATCCACTCGATAGATCTACGTGGCTTATCCAATCTATTCTATTAGGATCTTCCGGCCATATGCACACTCATAGATCTACCTAGTATATCACACACTCATAATCTACCTAGTTACATCACACTCATAGACACCTATGTTATCACACTCATAGATCTAACCTAGTTATCCAACCATCATCAGATCTACACTGTTAATCACACTCACTAATCTCACCTATTATCACCACTCATAGATCTACTGGTTTTCACACTCATAATCTACCTAGTTATCACCACACTAATAGATCTACCTAGTTATCACAGTCATAGAATCTACCTTGCCTTATCACACTCATAGATCTACAGATCTACATTGCCTTACACACTGGTGAATCTATCTGCTTACTCTCACAGACAGATCTACCTGCTTAAATTCACAGACAGATCTACCTGTTATTCAACAGGCACAGATCTACCTGATTATCTTTCACAGACAGAATTTACCTGATTACCAACAACAGATCTCCCCATGCTTGCCTCACAGACAGATCTACCTCGATTACTCTCACAGACAGATCTGCCTGCTTGCTCACAGACAGATCTCAACCTGATTGTCTCACCACACAGAATCTACCTGCTGATCTCACAGACAGATCTACCTGCTTATCCTCACAGACAGATCTACCTGGCTTATCTCACAGAACAGATCTACCTGCATTACCACACCAGACAGACTCTACGGCCTGTTACTCTCACAGACCAGGTCTACCTGATGATTCTCCCCAGACAGCATCTACCTGATTATACCACACAGACCAGATCTACTGCTTATCTCACAGACTAAGAGTTACGGCTGCTTACTCGCAGCAGAGCTAGGTTAGGGGCCTGATGATCTCCCCAGGACAGATCTACCTGTTGCTTCGCTGCATATATCCTGCCGCCAACCTCCACTGCTAGCCATACATGACACACGGACCCCTTCTCTAAACACAATTCACAGTAGCAGCTTTCTAAGCAGATAACATGCGCTCTTCAGTGACGTCACGCGACGCCCACAGTATACAGCTATGTACTGGAAGGAATTGGACATCAATTTGCCAACTCAAAGGACGATATGATAGACCAGGTTTACACTTCCGGAACATGAGAGCAATGCCAGTCGCAACTCGGTGGGACAATATGATCCTCGACGAGGCTTGAAGGGTTCTGTGTCTATGAGATTGTAAGTCAGGGCCCAGTAGAGAACAGCCGTCTGACGCGTCTCAAATAGACTGCAACAAAACACAACGCTGCCTGTATTTCGGGCGCCTAGGCGGCAGTGCGAGCGGTCCAGTATGCGCCATCGTTGCGTCGCTCAGGCGGGTGTTACACGTGTTGCGTCGGTGATGCGGGTGTTACACGTGTTGCGTCGGTGATGCGGGTGTTACACGTGTTGCGTCGGTGATGCGGGTGTTACACGTGTTGCGTCGGTGACGCGGGTGTTACACGTGTTGCGTCGGTGATGCGGGTTTTACACGTGTTGCGTCGGTGACGCGGGTGTTACACGTGTTGCGACGATGACGCGAGCGTTACACGTGTTGCGTCGGTCACGCGGGCGTTACACGTGTTGCGTCGGTCACGCGGGTGTTACACGTGTTGCGTCGGTCACGCGGGTGTTACACGTGTTGCGTCGGTGACGCGGGTGTTACACGTGTTGCGTCGGTGATGCGGGTGTTACACGTGTTGCGTCGGTGATGCGGGTGCTA